TTTTGAATTAGCAACCAGTCAATTTCATACGAAAATCATGTTGCATGCATGAGAAAATTTTTTCATAAATAAGCATGCAAACTAAGAGGAGTAACTCCGAGAAGTAAACTTCCTCCGAAAAATAAAGTTCCAGAAAGTAAAAAACATTCGAAAAGTTAAATTTCAAGAAGTAAGGTTAGAAAGTTAAGCTTATAGAAGTAAACTTTCCGAATAGTCACTTCGAGTAGTAAAATTAGCAGGGAAAAAGTGAAAAACAACAAAGTAAAATAACTTTGCATTCATAATAATTTGCGTCAAAAAATAACTTAACTTTCCGAATATTGCGGTCATGAATTAACTTTTCGGATGCTTCAGGCATAAACTAACTTCTCGGATGCTTCAAGCATAAGCTAACTTCTCGGATGCTTCAAGCATGAGCTAACTACTCGGATACTTCATGCTTCAGGCATGAACTAACTTTTTTTTTGGCCATGAATATATTTTCATGCATTGTTCAAAACATTATCATGACACCAATCATTTCTTCATCAATACCTCGTCATTTCATTATCTTCATTTATCGCAATATTTGCTTCAGGCAAATTAGCTAGAATCATCAAGATGAGGTTCATTCTCCGATGACCAAATGCTTTGATGCGCGACACGTAGGGATCAATGCCCTTCAGACCCAATTGTTAGCAAACCTGCTTCTGGCTAGGATTTTGCCTCGATGGGTTTGGTCGTCCTTGAATATCTTGATCACTTTGTTTCTTATTCTAAGCTCAAAACTCATACCACACCGATTATAATCTCGACTGCAACCCCTTATAAAGTTACTCAACTAGGTAACATTATGTGCTTCAAGCACCTGTGCAAAATCAACCAGACATGCACTTTTGATCTTTCATCAACAACTAGTTATGATTCTTAGCCACAAGGAGTGCTAAAATCAGCTTAGGATACTTCGCATAATTTGTTGTCTTGTACTACTGCTGGAGTACAAATTACTCGCATGAAAAGTTGGCAATGTCTTTCCAATTAAATATTTATCTGAAACTTCTTGTTTAGAGTTTCAATTGCGAGACTATTTTGTGCATAGCTGAATTATAGTTAATCATTGACTTACATTATAATCTCAAAATTAAACATGAGATTAAACTAGTCAAAATGTGTCTTGGGGAAGAACATTTGATGACTTTTGGTCGGAATAGTCCTTCAGGGACTTCCATTAATGCAAGGGGTTCTTTTTCAATCAGATACTCATTTTTAAGATCGTGGTTCAAGTGGTGACATATGAAAATGAGAGCTTGTGCCTTCTGGGCATCTGTGCTATGTGACTTAGCAACAAAAGCTTGGCTCAATTCTTTGGATGCCAAATAAATTTCAATATCTAGAACCCAACAATTGCTTCCTTCATAAGCGAGTTCAATAAATTCACATTTGACAATTGAATACGTAATCTACAAAACATATATCATATGTTCTCATATACATTCATAATATCACATGTTTATAGCAAAATAAGGAATTTAACATCTTCTAGATGCAAAATGAACTTTCCGAGATGAAGTCAAAAGATAAAATCAGAAAACAAATTGATCTTTCGAATATACACAAAAACCGAAATGGTGCAACACGAATTGGTGAGGCAAACACCAAATTGATGCAACAAGCATCGACTCGTGTTTATATCATCAACTCGTGCTACAAGCAACAAGGCACGAATCGGTGCGAAAACACCGAATTGATGCAGCAAGCATCGACTCGTTTTATAGCATCAAATCGCGCTACAGGCAACGAGTGGTGTTTCATTCTCCAATACACCGAATTCATGCTCCCAAGTCATCAATTAAACTTTAAAGTCTTGCTCACTCTTAAGCTTCCACAAAATAAACTTTAACAATCTTAATTAAAAATCATTCACAATTTTCTATGAAAGGCATGATCTACAAGATCATCATTTGATGCAACTTTAGGAAGCAATATGACAACTTGGAAAAAAAATCAATATTTTGAATACATGTTCAAGCAATGGATAAAGAAACATCTTTTACATAAATATGCATACATGTTTCTTAGCATTCTAATACAAACACAGCAATCCGATGCAAACATATAATAAGGACCGATTATGCGTTTGATATCCATAGTCATAGAACATACATGGATACATATACATACAATTTGGCATATAACTACATGTATTTACCATCTCAAAGCACCATGGATTCGTGGTTCATATAGAGCCTAACTCATATACAAGAATTGAGAGAATAAATAAAAATAATATGTATTTACAAATTCATGTATTTACCCAAATTCTTAACAATGTCTTGATGAGGGGTTCATCACTCAAAAGTTGTTAACAAACCAGAAGAATAATCACTCATTTTATAGAAACAATAATTGAAGGTTCCAAACCAAACTCATAGCCATATATACACATAATATTTATATATAAACAATGGCATATGATTAAAAAAAAAAAAAAAAACAAAATGCACGGGAAAATGAACCAATAGTACCGTTCACCGGAGATTACAATAGAGACTCGTGCTGATAACGTGTTGTAATTTGGCCTATCAACTAGCTCAGTTCTCGCGTGATGTTTGCACGGTACTGCTTCTTGATTGTATGTATATGAGTATATAGAATAGATAAGTAAAAGGGAGATGAAGAACACAATGTATAGAACACAATTTCATAAGACTATCTTTTCATTAAGCCTTCACTCTCAATTTATAGGGACCATTACAACCTTTCACATACTTATCATAAACAAGATATTAAGTAGAAGGCAAATGAAGAGTCTCAAGATTAATGGCCACTAATTGAAATATTTATAACAACTACAACATTTCTCCTCCAAATTCCTAATTTTTTTCTCCTAACATGTGATATTAACTACTTTAATCTTTTATTACTAGTTGAATCAACTAATTCATAGGTGCTTAATGATTATAAATCACATCATTAGAGAATTTATTTATGAGGGGTAAACATCATTATGGAAGTTCTGGACAAAGAGGCAGCCATGGAAGTTGTGCAAAACCTATTTCCTGTTGTGCAATTTAGTATGGGAGGCTAACAAAATCCTTAAAAAGCAGGCATGGACTTTTATATAAAAGTAAGTTATCAGGCGCGCCAGTGGGGTGCAATGGTGACAGCCACGCCTGGCTGTCACCATTGGTATAATTTTATTGTGGATTATATATTTTTGAATTATCTTCAATTCTTGCAGAAGCGCCTCCACCTTCTCTTTCTTACCCTTCTCTCCTCCATGTAAGTATTGGCTTTCTCGAAATCTGTGAATAAACTTGGTATTATTCACTAGTGTAGATGCTTTAAGGGGAGAGCTGCTTCCCAAAGTGCTTTATTCCTAGCCGCACAAACGCTGTAGAGAATGGGCGACAGTTGCTCCACATCACCACCATTCATCATGCCAAATGCATTCTTTACCCACTCTCCAAAAGTATTATATGTTTGAAATTCATTTTACATTTGTTGTTAGGACTGTCACACAATACTTACTTAGCTGCAGCATGCCAACGTTAGTTTCTGCCATCACTGAACACGTAGAGTGAGGCAAAGGACCGCTTGTGGCTGCTATAAAATCAGCTGCGGGATTAAGGACAGTGCCGAAGGTAGACTAAATCCTTTGTTGTTTACTGAAACTAAATCTGTTATGATGAGTAGGTTATCTCTAGTTAATTAACTTGTCAAGGTTGAAAATTTATAGTTATGAAGTTTAATTGGAGTTATCCTAATTATATTGATACTTATTTATTATTCTTCTTCCTATTGGTTTCTAAAAATATATATGCTAGTGTTAGAATGAATACATTTGTAATTTGAATTATAGATTTACATTGCTCGATTACAAACATATATTTTGGTTGGTTTATGTGAAAAACAAATTTATTATGTACATCACCAAGTATAAAAATATTATAATTATACCATGTACCAACTACCAAGGCAAGGCCTACATCACAAAATTATGTAGAGCCAACTAAGTAGCCAAGCAAGCAGAGATTAAATAAGCATGGACAAAATTCATTTGGCAAAAGGGGAGGGATGAATATTACCCAGATTGATTTGGCGAGAGAAGTTACTGTAACGGTACTTGTCAACAAGCTCTGCAATTTCCTCTTCCAACACCGGTTCTTCGAGAACTGATTGCCGCTCCTCTGCAACCTTCTCCAAGTCCATTTCCTATCGAGGCGTCCAGGCCCAAATGGAGAGAATTTGGGCGGCTCATGGAACCCGATAGGCTCAATAGCGGAGTTGGTCTCCGAGTAAGAATACCGGAAATCAAAAGGCAGATCGGAGCTCACCGGAGAGTTTTGAGAATTATTGCTGGGTGACCAAGTGTACAAGGAAGCGGGACTGTTTGGTCCACTTACAAGCTCCATTGAAGTTACGGAGTTTACGGTGAGTTCTTTGTTGATGTGTTTTGTGATGCAATGTATCACTGCTATGTATTACATTAACTTGTCTTTCTTTCTTAGAATAAAGATATATTCCCACACACACACACATTAGGGATGTTAGTGAAATTTGGAATCTTGACACTGAAACACAATTTCCATGGAAAAACAGAGGGATGCAGTCATTTTAAGTGTAGATTAATACTCTGTAAACAAAAACCTCCTGCTTTTCAGCATTGTAGCATCACTTTGTAGTAGCAGATATTATTAAAGCTCATCATACTTCAATTTCATTCCAAAATCTGGGAATATGTAAACCACACCACAACTAAACTCACACATTGGGATAGGTTTACAAATACTTCATTTATCTTCTTTATGTTATTGCAAAAACACAAACGTCTAACAGTAATTACCCTAAAAAGATTCTACCGGAGCAGTAATTACAATTTTGTGTTTTGAGTAGCATCTTATGCAAATATATTGTCAGTAGATGATGCCGTAATTATCCAGTACAGTGCTTTCTTTTTTTGGAATACAAAATTGTAAGGAACTATTATGATATTGATAATTTGAATAATATTTCCTTAATTCCTTTTCAACTCAAAGTCATTATAAATTTATTATTTGATAGGAAAAACACATATTTGGTCCCTAGTTCAAACATTAGAACTAGAATAAGTCACTTCATGGTGACTGCCTCTTCCCCAGATTTAGATGAGGCACCCCTCTTCCTCCCGGCAATGTAAAAAAAAAAAAAAAAAGGGACTCCTACAGTTCTGGACATAGAGGCAGCCATGGAAGTAGTGCAAAACCTATTTCCTGTTGTGCAATTTAACTTGCTATATATGGGAGGCTAACAAAATCCCTAACACATGTCTAACATGTCTATAATTTAGGTATGTTTGCACTTTGCAAGTTCTGTTGATGAACCACAGTTCTGATCTTCATCCCTCTTTCCCCTCCAAAGTATAATTTGTTCATCCTTAACCAAGATTGGAATACAAGGTACCAAATCCTGCATTCAAGAAATATGGCTTTGTAAACTTCTTCCTTATTGAAAAGAGTTTAGTGGGCATGGTCCCATGCCATACCACTCTGACAGTATATGGGAGGGACAATCTAAACACCCTTACATTTCAACACAACACATCATATCAAGAGGAAAATGAAAATGAGACAGAAAATTACAAATAGAGGTAATTGTGAGATTGTGATCATATATAGATCATATATCTAGAGTATTTAATAGCAATGAGCTTGAAACAGTGAAAGCACAAGTCATACCCGTAATTTAACACTGATCTTCTTGCAGTCACTTGTTCCAACATGGGAGCAGTCTAATCTTACTAGTTCTGCTGTTTGAAATGCCACCCTAACTTTTTCAACCACATTTATATAGACACCATTCCTAGCTGCATAGTGGATTAATATGCAGTGAATCAGTTACTATATGATGAAGGATTTAAAACTTACCCTAGTTTATCATCCAATTGAAAAAGGTTAGAGCAGAATACAAGACCATGGTTAGTCTCAAGAGTGACTCACTGAGTTTTGTTAGGGGAGGAGAGTTGAGCCCTCTGGTTCTCATTTCCTTAGTTTCTTCAAATGTCAGGCCATCAGCAACATTCTTCACTAGCTTTGGGAAAATAGGTGCATATGGCTTCCACAGCATCAAGGGAATGGTTGGCCTATTTTTCAGATCATAGTTTCGACCACGAAAAAGAAGTAGGACATTTATGTGGCGATATACAATTTTGCCACCGGACTTGTCCTATGAAGGCACTGTGATCCTTATCAGTGAAAACGAATACTTGGACCCAATAGGAGGAACCAAATACATCATATTCAAATGGAGAATGACAAGAGGGATCCAGATATCAGACCTCAAGATGGAAGCAAACATTATCCATGTCGAGAGTTGGTACTCCATAGCACTTGATCCTAACAGCTTCAGCTCTCTTCCAGTGGTTGTGGATGTCTTCCAGCATATTGTGTGTAACTCCACCCTTCCCTGCCAAATGATAGAACTACAGTTTTAGCATTCTTCCAAGAAACATTATACTTAATACAACTGAATCCAATAGTTATGGTTCCAGTGTGTCTGTAATTGAAGAGCACAAAATTATGTACAGTCAACTACTAAGTAGTCAAGCAAGCAAGCAAGCAAGCAGAGATTAAATAAGCATGAACAAAATTGATTAGGCGAAAGGGGAGGGATGAATATTACCCAGATTGATTTGGCGAGAGCAGTTATTGTAACGGTACTTGTCAACAAGCTCTGCAATTTCCTCCTCCGACAGCGATTCTCCGAGAACTGATTGCCGCTCCTCGGCAACCTTCTCCAAGTCCGGAGGCCTTTGTGCAGGGGCACAAGTCCCAGTCCATTTCCTATCGAGGCGTCCAGGACCAAACGGAGAGAATTTGGGTGGCTCACGGAATCCGATAGGCTCAATAGCGGAGTTGGTCTCCGAGTAAGAATACCGGAAATCAAAAGGCAGATCGGAGCTCACCGGAGAGTTTTGAGAATTATTGCTGGGTGAGGTTTTTGTACTCTTCTTCTTTTTGGTCTTCAGTGGTTTTAGGGTTTTGGTGGTGGTCGAAGAAAATGGCGGGTCCGATATATATCCTTGTTGTTCTCCTAGAGATTGAGAGTGTGTGAGGAAACGGGAAATAGTGGTGAGGAACGGGGAAGGTATAGCAGATATTCTGAAGTCTAGGCTCCAACGACGCCATGGAAGTAGCTTCAACATTCTCAATTTCTAACTTCTCACAGTGAAATGCTGAAAATGAAGATGGCTGGCTATACGTCTGTACTCTGTATCGCTAGCGGACTTCAGTGGTGCTTTGGTAATTAAGGCGTTAATAATAAATACTCCTTCCGTCCCTCTCATTTTATGTGTTGGTTAGATTAACCAATTTTTAATTTAATTTAGTATTAAGTATTAACATACAAAATTTATATATTTAAAAACTACACTAAAAATAATATTAAACACAAAAAAATAAATTTAAAAATAAGTAAATATAATAAAGAAAATAAATAAATAAGAAAGAGTTGTTTTGATCCATTAATAATAAATATGAAGAATAAGGGTCAAATAGGCCACTCAATTACACACACAAATGTAATTAGGCCATTGAACTAAAAAAGAATGCAATTGAGTCATTGAACAACACAAAAACATGCTCAAAATGACTTGTTCACCCGTTATAGCAAGTTACCCATTTTTAAATTAAATTTTAACAATAATTTTTAATAAATAAAAAAAAAAAAAAAAAAAAAAAAAAAAAAAAAAAACAACAACAACAACAACAGAAACAGCCGCCCGGAGACGATTCGTCTCCATGGCCGGAGACAAACCTCCGTCTCCAGCCATGGAGACAAAGACCTTCGTCTCCATGGCCAGGAGACAAAGGTTTCGTCTCCTGGCCATGGGGACGAAGGGGACCTTCGTCTCCGGCTATGGAGACGAAGATCAACGAAGGTCTTTGTCTCCATGGCTGGAGACGAAGCCTCGTCTCCGCCCGGTTGTTTCTGTTTTTTTTTTTTTTTTTTTTTTTACAAAAATTAAGTATTTATTAAAAATGAAAAATTATTTTTAAAAATTAATTAAAAAATGAGTAACTTGCTACAACAGGTAAACATGTCATTTTGGACTAAATTGCATGTTTTTGTGTTGTTCAATGGCTCAATTACATTCTTTTTTAGTTCAATGGCCTAATTGCAATTGTGTGCGCAGTTGAGTGACCTATTTGACCCTTATTCCTAAATATGACAATGAAACATAAAAAGTATCAATTGTTATACCGCATAGGTGGACTTTGATCCAAAATAAAATTACTTGTACTTAACTACTTGTAGTTAACACGATATTACAATTAATATATTATGTTTACCACATTTAATATATTATGTACTTACATTATCAAATTATGTATCTATTACAATTAATTAATATGTTAATTCAGTTACATAATATGTTAATTGCAATTATATAATTTAAATACCATTTTAAATTAGATTTACAATGTAAGATAGACTATGATATCATTTTGCATCCTGACCTAGTGGCCCATCATCATTCATTCAAATTCAACCCTTGATTACACTTTAATTTTGTACCTAAACCATTTAAACTATTAATTTATTTTGATGAGATAATTTTCAAAAACATATCAATCTGCTGTATAAGTGATATAGTGTAATTTTCTCTTTTAATTATTAAAATATCAGATCTCAAGCAACTGGTGTATAGTAAGCATAGCATTCAATTCAAAAGATTGTGATTACTTTTAGTATTGCGTATTGCATTTTCCTGTATATACATTCTTCACATGAAGATAGCGTAATTACATTCTTCACAATCCTGTAGTGTACTAATCTTCAGGTGATCGGAATTACAGTAAGAACAGATCAGATCAGAAAATATGGAAGAATGAATCTATGATAGCTATTATAAATTTATAATGCCTTTGATGATATGATCAGCAACCTTCTGAGCGGCGATATTTTGGAGGCATAGACGGACACCTTTCATTCATGTGAGCGTATGGTTCCAGGCTATTGTAACCCGGCAATTCCATCAAGTACTTTCCCAGAATTTGACAGGAGAGAAGTATTGTGTAGGGATCATTGCACCACTTTGGTAAGCGCCTTGTATCGTTCTCAAAAAACTTCAACGAGTAAGCATCTTTAATCTGCACAATATGATAATTTCATAAGCCTCATTCATTATTCATTCATATACATAATCGAATTGAAGAACTGAACTGAATTGAACTCACCGTGAACTCGGTAACTTGAATGAGGCTTGAAAGTGGACCAAACAGCCCTGCTTTCTTATACATTCCAAGAACAAAAGCAGCACAGGATGTAGACTTGCCATCAGAGTAAACCCAATCATCTTGCTCTGGAAGAGTCAATACTTGTGCCAAACTTGATTCACGCCGTTTAAGTTCTTCAAGAATTTCTGGGAAACCAAGCCCCTCTGTTCCAAGCCGCTTGTTCAAGGCTTCATTCCACACATTAGCGGCATATGGAGGCTGTACTTGATTCCAAACTGTCATGGCAGAAGCAATCTGCAGAATTCGATCAATTCCAGAACATCAATAAGTTGAAGATCGACCCAGAAAATTAAACTAAACTGAATTGAAGATGCAGGAAATATATATATATATATATATATATATATATATATATATATATATATATATATATACCACATGAGGATCCCCCAAGGGTTCAGGGTAATTTTCCTTCATAGTGTCAATCCAGCTAAATATTAAGTTGTGATAAGCATAAGGCAATCCATCCATGGTTTTAGCATATTCCCATGCGGCACTCTCATTAAACTTTGCCCGGAGATCTGGGCGGAGAGGGAGCAATGCAATACTACTGGGAATGGAGTCATATTTCAACTCAAATTCCCACCATTCATCCCAAGGCAAGATGGCAATAACAGCTTCCCCTTCATCATTCTCCCGCCCAGATTCTCCGACCCACAGCTTCCCTCCGGCGTCCCTCAGGCAAACGGCGATATGACCGGCATAAGAACCCGTTACCCACTTCTCCAAAGTCTGGATACCACCCCGGCGGCCGCTAAATCTTGATACGGCCAGTAAATCTCCAGAATGTATACTATCGGTAGAAACATTTGCTACCCATTGTCGCAGGGGACGTATCAACAATGAAGCCTCCATGCGCTTGTTGAGAAAATTGACATTCGACCTCTCACTCCATCCCGCACTCGTGATCAAAGGAAACACTTCCTTTAGCATATCAAGGACTCCCATCATTTCAAAAGCCATGACAAAAATTGAAACCCCAGTCTTTTTCACCTGTAAAAAAACTCGATCAATCGATCTGTAAGTAAAACTCAAAAGCGATCGAGATAATTTCATAATATATATATATATAGCATTTACTCACGTATTCTAACTCAGCTTTCGAAACCCATTGGTCGAATTCGATGGTATGTTCACCAGACAAGAAAAAGTAATCCGATGTCACACGATACGCAGTGGCAAACAGATAAGAATCATCACAGTACCAGGTGTGTGCTTTGCTTACCTGTTCAATAATAGATCAGATCCAACACATATTCATAAATTAAACGACGTGAATATATACTACATTGAAGAAGAATGGCAGTCAAATGGCATGGAGACCTAACATTGATGTGAAGAGCGCCGCCGCCAAATGGAGTGCGACTCTTATTATGGAGCTCCAACCAAGCAGAGTTGTGGTTAAAGCAGGGCGCCTTCCAGTGAATATTGGCGGTGTTGGAGGCGGAAGCGGCGCCCACAAAGACCGGCAAGGGGTCCTCTGGACTGCTACTCTTGCGCGCATGCAGATAGTTGAGGATAGGGCGGGAGAGCAGCTGAGGCAACGGCGGAACCATATCAGTGGGCCGAAACGGGAGCTTCAAGGCATTGCCGCCGTGCGGTAGTGCAAGGAACAAAGAAATGGCGATGAGGAAAAGGGTTGTTGAGAGAGCTCCTTTGGATGTAGCCATGGCGGGAAGAGAGAGAGATGGAGATAGCTAGGAAGTGGAGGCGAGACTGTAGATTGAATGAATTTTATAACCGCCTTGGGCAGTTGGGCTCTGGCAAGCTGGCATGGACTCATCGATACTGCACAAATTTACTAACAGAATCTAACAACAAACTAAATCAGTTTTTTTTTTTTTTTTTTTTTTTTTTTTTTTTTTTTTTTTTTTAAGGAAAGAAACTAAATCAGTTATGGTGAGTACTTTCACCCAAAAAAAAAAAAAAGTTATGATGAGTAAAATAGTTAATCGTCTTAATTGACTTGTCAAGGTTGAAAATTTGTCTTATTTATTATTCTTCTTCCTACTTGGTTTCTAAAAATATGCTATGGTTAGAATACATTTGTAATTTGAATTATAGATTTACATTGTTTAATTACAGAATACAAATTTATTATGTACATCACAAAGTGTAAAAATATTATAATACAAATTGTTATACCATGTACCAAGCCTGCATCAATTATGTATCATGGCTTAGTCCATTCAGATTATGTAACTGTATATGTAATTTCAATTAATAAATTATATACATGTTACAATTAATATATTTTAATAAATACATAATTTTGATGTCATTTTGAATCATGTCCACAATGCATCGTGAAATTTAATCATGGCATAAATTGCTGATAAATACTCCACTTTATGGATTTATGACTCCAAATATTGCACCCCAACCCAACCATCACTCACTTGAATTGAACCCTAAATTACACCTTAATCAGTGCCTTGCGATTTAAACTATCAACTTATTTTGAATTTATCAACGGTCTCAAGAGAATCTCAAAAAAAAATATCAACTCACTATCTAAGTGATATAATGTATGTTATTTTCTGTTTTAATTATTAATTAAAATATTAGGTATCAACCAAGTAGTGTGATAACTTTTAGTTTGATAAATTTGTATGGAAATAAAACATAATGATCACCATCGACGGAGGCAGTATGGGGGCAGCTGCCCCCACTCCCCCACCTCACCCCTTTATATATATGTATGGAATTAATTTCACTTTTGGTCCCACGACTTTTGAGTTCGTATCACTTCTGGTACACAATTTTAAATTTTTTTAATTTTGGTGCCTAACTTTGTTATTTTTATCAGTTTTGGTCCTTCTAGCCAAATTGAAGGTAAAATATTTCTGAATTTTATATTTTAGGGGCAAAATCATCATACTATGAAAAGATCTTCAATATTTAAACAAAAGAAAAATCATATTAAGAGGAAAAGAAGAGTTTGCCAATGGTCGAAACTATAAATCCCATAGATCTATCTGGTTCCTGCCCGTCTTTCCCATTATTCTCATCGATCAAACACCTATAGATATGATTTTACAGTGATTTTGATTAGATATTGAAGATGTTTCCTTGGGATGACAATTTTACCCCTAAAAATATAAAATCCAGCAACATTTCGCTGTCAATTTGGCCGAAAGGACCAAAACTGATAAAAATAACAAAATTAGGCACCAAAATTAAAAAATTTTAAAATTGTGCACCAAAAGTGATAGAACATCCAAAGTCGTGGGACCAAAAGTGAAATTAATTCTATATGTATGTATATATCGACATATATAGCATTAAATGTTATATACAATTTATATTTATGTTTGATTTATTAATAGTTAGAGTAGCTTAGTTGTTTGAGCTTTAAATTTAATTTTTAAAAAAGTGTATGGTTATAGGTTCGAATCTCATTAAAAACACTTTTAGTCTACTTTTTATGAATCATTTAATTAACAAATTAATGCTCTTTTAGTCTACTTTTTATGAATCATTTAATTAATGTAGTATACAAGTTTATATTATGCTTCATTTTATTCAAATTATTTTACATTTTTACCTCACTCAAGTATACTTTTTTGCTCTGATTCTAACTATCGTTTAATCTATCAAAAAATTTCTATTGTAATTTATAATATATTTTGTATTTTAACTTTATTATGATTGTTTGATATTTCGTAATTGATATTGCTAACTGTCATTTAAACTTCGCCCCCGCTCAAGTATTTTTCTGGCTCCGTCCCTGATGATCACAATACATTCTAATTAATTCAATATTGCATTTTCCTGTATAAACATACATGAAGATTAGCGTAATTACATTATGATCTTCACAATTCTGTATACTAACCTGAAGGTCAATTGCAGTAAGCATTACATAAGAAGAGAAGAGAAGAGAAGAGAACAGAATATGAAAGAATGAATCCAGCTTCCAGCAATATATATATACATAATACATTGGAAGCAAATTAAACAAAAGTATTGATGAGCATTAGCAACCTTCTGGGCGGTAATATTCTGGGGGCATAGACGGGCACCTTTCGTTCATGTGAGCGTATGGTTCCATGCTATTGTAACCAGGCAATTCCATCCTGTACTTTCCTCGAATTTGACAGAAGGGAAGTTCCACTGTGTCCCCATCATTGCACCACTTTGGTAATCGACTTGTATTGTTCTCGAAAAACTTCAACGAGTAAGCATCTTTAATCTGCGCTTTCATACATATATATGATTTCATAAGGCTCATTCATAGAAGTGATTCATTGCATCGCAAAACACATCAACAAAGAACTAACTCACCGTAAACTCTGTAACTTCAATGGAGCCTGCAAGTGGACCAAACAGTCCCGCTTCCTTGTACATTTCGAGAACAAAAGCAACACATGATGTAGACTTCCCATCAGCGTAAACCCAACCATCCTGCTCCGGGATAGTCAATAGTTCTGCAAAAGATGATCCACGCCGTTCAACTTCCACAAGAATTTCAGGAAGATCAAGCCCCTGCTCCAACACAAACTTATATCATTAGGTCACACAATTTATCACATCAATTTGCAAGCAAAGGTAAACTTTATGAGATTGAAGTTTGGGGGACAATCTACTCAAAAACCTAAAATCTGGGCCAAAGAGTAATGATATAAAAGCCACTTTTTTCTAAACCCAATCAGCACTTGGCCTAGGGTCATCAGTTTTTTCTAAGAACTTTGTATAAAGAAGAAACATTTAGCAGGAATACAACCTCAGTTCCAAGCCGCTTGTTTAAGGCTTCATTCCACAGGTTAGCGGCATATGCAGGCTGTACTTGATTCCAAACTGTCATGGCAGAAGCAACCTGTACGAATCACCAACCACCAAAATATCAAAATCAAAACTGAAACTTTAATGGAACCATTATCAGTGTTACATATCTATATCTATTTCGAAAAAAAGAAATTATCAAAATATTCAGAGGATATAATGTTCTAGCATTGTAGAAATGATTTTTGCAGGAATCAAAGAGCTAGAGCAAAGATGCAGTGAAAAGAGAATAAATGAATATTGAACTTCAAAAGCAAGAAGAATGCAAATTTTCTTAAATACTAGAGTGAAGATTCATTACCAGATGAGCATCCAAGGGTGGAGGGAAATTTTCATCTATAGTGTCTATCCAGCTAAATATTGAAGTGTAGAAATTTATAGAATCTTATAAAACATTATAGAACTCATATAATTGTATAGAATTTTAGGGAGGATTTTAGAGATATAATCATAGTAATACGATCAAGTAGATCTTCACCGTCCATTGAGGATGTGGAATAAATATAAATAACCTCATGGGGCTCCTTTTGTAACAATCCAAATGGTGCTTATAATTAAAGATAAAATGTTTTTTTTTTCTCAAAATTAAAGAGTTTTAATTGGGAGCGCTAAATGATGTTATTTATTTATTTTAAAATAATAAGGATAAAAATGAAAAAAAGTTTAGAAGCTACTAGCTTGTTTTTGAAAAAGCATTTCAAAATAAGCTATTATTTTAAACTACTAGTTTATTTCTTCCCAAAGAACATCTAACAGAAATCTACTGAAATCAACTTCACTATCCGTAGAAACATTTGATACCCATTGTCGAAGACGTATCAACAATGAAGCCTCCATGCGTTTGTTGAGAAAATTAATATTCGACCTCTCACTCCATCCCGCGCTCGTGATCAAAGGAAACACTTCCTTTAGCATATCAAGGACTCCCATCATTTCAAAATCCATGACAAAAATTGAAACCCCAGTCTTTTTTACCAGTAAAAAAACTCGATCAATCGATCTGTAAGTAAAACTCAAAAGCGATCGAGATAATTTCATAATATATATATATAGCATTTACTCACGTATTCTAACTCAGCTTTCGAAACCCATTGGTCGAATTGGATGATATGTTCACCAGACAAGAAGAAGAAATCCGATGTCACACGATGCGCAGTCGCAAACAGATAAGAATCATCATAGTACCATGTGTGTGCTTTGCTTACCTGCTCAATAATAGATCAGATCCAACACATATTCATAAATTAAAGGACGCGAATACATTGAAGAACAATGGCAGTCAAATGGCATGGAGACCTAACATTGATGTGAAGAGCGCCGCCGCCAAATGGAGTGCGACTCTTGTTATGGAGCTCCAACCAAGCAGAGTTGTGGTTAAAGCAGGGCGCCTTCCCAGTGGATATTGGCCGTGTCGGAGGCAGAAGCGGCGCCCACGAAGGCGGGCAAGGGGTCCTCTGGACTGCTGCTGCGCGCATGCAGATAGTTGAGGATAGGGCGGGAGAGCAGCTGAGGCAACGGCGGAACCATATCAGTGGGTCGAAACGGGAGGTTCAAGGCATGGCCGCCGTGTGGTAGTGCAAGGAACAAAGAAATGGCGATGAGGAAAATTGTTGTTGAGAGAGCTCCTTTGGATGTAGCCATGGCGGGAAGAGAGAGATGGAGATAGCTAGGAAGTGGAGGCGAGACTGTAGATTGAATGAATTTTATAACCGCCTTAGTTGGGCTCTGGCAAGCTGGCATGGACTCATCGATACTGATGAACGAATTTACTAACAGAATAATAACAAGAAACTAAATCAGTTTTTTTTTTTTTTTTAAAGGAAAGAATCTAAATCAGTTATGATGAGTAATTTCACCAACAAAAAAAAAAAGGTTATGATGAGTAATAGTTAATTAACTTGTCAAGGTTAAAAATTTATAATTACACCATTAATGTTGTACAGCATTGATTTATCTACGAACCTGTGAAGGTTTTAAAAATCCCACAGGCTATCATTAGTGCCAAGTTCAAGTATGGGATCATCATTATGGCATAGTCTGAGGACAAGATCCTCATTCCCCATTTCTTGTTGATCAATCTGAATCTTTTTAGCACTTTCCTCAACCAAGCTATTGCAATGACTCAATTCAATCAGTTGCAGAGTTGGTATTTCTGCAACACCATCTGGGATATGTTTAAGAACTGTACAGTAATGAAGAACAAGGCATTCAAGCACAGGAAACTGCACATTAGTTGCTTCCCAGTTCTGAAAATCAGAAAACATATAAACAGGAATTTCAGTTGGGAAGCCTCCTACCAACACATTCTTAAGGCGATACTGTTGGGAGATAGTTATCCAGGCATGAAAATCGAAATGATTCATAACATGAGGATCATCGTAAATTATTCTAGCAAGAGCGGTTTTACCAATTCCTCCCATACCTGAACACATAGTTCAGACCGTGATCCAAAGAGTTGATCTTTGATTCTTGACGGCTCGTCATTGATGCTCAAAAAGGCTGTAGAACCTACCATATATCCTGCCAAACTCCAAAGATGGGTACTTTTCTTAAAGAGAACAAGCAGGAAAGAGTTTATGAATTGCCTCACTCCTAACTCTGAACACTATTCTCTTTTGCTCAATTTTGCATCCGTGGGATATTTTTTACGATAAGATACGATAGGCGGCGCTTGACACCATGCAATGACCGCATTCAAGTTTGAAATTTGTTTTTTATGAAGGCATTTCATTTTTTTTTTTTTTGAATTCTGAGGTGAAAATTCACTATCACTATTAAAAGATGACTCAAATTAAGAAGGTTAATAGGCAATTTTTACTGATAATTAAATTTGTAACATTTGTAACAAAATTAATAGCATTCTTCCAAAAGGTTGAACCTCAATCCTAAGGCCCCCACACCCCGACCCTACAGAACATTTAGGAGGATGTAAATCATGGTAAACCACACAAGCTAGACCTTTGCTCACTGCACACAAGAAATCCCCAGTTGCTCCCACACTGCCTTGATAAAAGAATATATAGAAAACACTCTTTCACGTAAAGAGAGGAGAAAATAAATGAATTGGAAGGGAAAAGAAATTATACGGAAGGAGGAAGAGGGTGCCGTCTCTCTCGTCAACGTCGATGAAGGTGGAGGAAGGATTTTTAAAATAATAATCTAGAAAAATTACATTTTTGATCTCTAAGTTATTGGTCCCTTAACAATTAGGATTTTATTAATTTGGTCATTAATTATCAAATTTACTCAATTTAATCCCTTGACTATTAAAATTTCACAATTTTAGTCATCAACTATTAAAGTTGCTCAATTTAATTTTTAAGAGTAAATATCCAAAATGGTCCCTCGACTATAGTTAATTCACAAATTGGTCCTCGACTTTCAATTTCAACTAATTAAGTTCTTAACTTTGCAATTTTGACACGATTTGGTCCTCCATCTATTTGACCGTTTGTTGACTGTGATTTTTGAGGGTATATATGTAATTTCATGGTCCATCGTCGGTTTTTTAAGGTTCTGGTTGCATTTCCAGACTGCACTGTTACATTTGAATCCACTGCCGAAAGCAATCTACCAAATCCGATCGCCTTTCTTCATCCTCCCTTTGGATTCAATGTAGTTGAGTTCGTACCAGAGTGAAGAAGACGGCGTGTTTCTGAACCAGTGCAACATCATCCTGAGGCCTCCACGTGCTCCGACAAGAGCTGAAGGTTCTTCTGGAGATCGTCGATCACGGTCAACAAACGGTCAAATAGATGGAGGACCAAATCGTGTCAAAATTGCAAAGTTAAGGACTTAACTGGGTGAAATTAAAAGTCAAGGTCTAATTTGTGAATTTAGCTATAGTCGATGGACCATTTTGGGTATTTACTCAATTTTTAATTATGCAATTTTTACCTAAAATTATCCATTGACTATTACGATTTCACCACTTTGGTCCTCAACTACTAAAGTTGCTCAATTTAGTTTATAACTATGCAATTTTTACCTAAAATTGTCAATCAACTATTAGAATTTCACCACTTTGGTCTTCGACTATCAAATTTGTTCAATTTAATCTCCAACTTTGCAAATGTTAACGTAAAATGTAAGTTTAATGTGAATTTGGAGATTTTTTAGAGAGTCGGGAACTAAAGCGGTAAAATCTTAACACTCAAAGACTAAAGTGGTGAAATTCTAATCCGATAAAGATTGAAAATGCAAAATACGGCAAAAAGCCCCAGCTCGTCGTTGCGCATAGCACTTTGAATATCTCTCGATTATCATTTGAAATGCCACCCTAACTTTTTCAACCACATTTATATAGACACCATTCCTAGCTGCATAGCGGATTAATGTGCAGTGAATCAGCTACTATATGATGAAGGATTTAAAACTTACCTAGTTTATCATCCAACTGAAAAAGCTAGGTCAGAGCAGAATACAAGACCGCAGTTAGTCTCGAGAGACAAAGAGTGACGCAGTGAGTTTTGTTAGGGGAGGAGAGTTGAACCCTCTGGTTCTCGTTTCCTTAGTTTCTTCAAATGTCATGCCATCAGCAACATTCTTCACTAGCTTTGGGTAAATAGGTGCATATGGCTTCCACAGCATCAAGGGAATGGTTGGCCTATTTTTGGGATCATAGTTTCAACCACGAAAAAGAAGTAGGACATTTGTGTGGCGATATACAATTTTGCCACCCGATAGAGGAAGGCATAGCAGATATTCTGATTTGAAGTCTAGGCTCCAACGATGCCATGAAAGTAGCTTCAATGTATTAATCTCAGAAGATGGTCAAAAGGATTGAGGGGCAAACGACGTCGCATGACATCCCGACAGTTAGGAGGCGGTTACAATAAGTGAAACGCCGTCGTTTCATTAAGTGGCAAGCTGAATAAATAGATCCCTTAAACGGTGTCGTTTAACTTGTAATAGCAGTTAGGGGTAACGGTTATAAGGGGATAGCTAGCCGTGTATGCAAATGTGAATTCTGATGTAATGAACAATCTTCTCTCTACATTCTCTCCCAATTCTCTCTCTCTCTCTCTCTCTCTCTCTCTATCTATCTATCTCTTCTCTCAATTTCTAAATCCTAGGTTCGTGACATCTGGTATCAGAGCTCAATGGAGGCAAGATTGAAACAGCTAGAGATAGTTGTGGCTGACTTGAGTGATCAGATGGAGACACATAAACAGACAACAACTGAGCTAATGGAGCGGTTAGTAGCTCAAATGGAAGGCAAGATGAAATCGCAGAGACAATCCGGCTCAATCGGCCTCCACCACCATTGATGTCCACTATCCCTGGTGGATCGTCTGTAAATGGAGTAAGGAATGAGCTCCCAGCCTTGTCACATCAAGGCCAGAATCCATCAGCACAAAGGCCAGGGAAAGCACCAGCAATGCAAATAGCTGGTGAAGGAGAATCGGATAATGAGATGGGGTTGGAAGGATTTGGCACAAACTGGACAAGGAAGGAGGTCCGGACACAGATGCCACAAAGGCGAGCCATAGAATCTCCATTCATGAGGTATCGATATGATTTTTCAGCATTTGACTATGATCAACCTAAACTGTGGATCAGTATATGTGAACGTTTTTTTCAAATGTCCATATTCCCCGGATTGAAGTAATGCATGTGTTATATGTGAACTTGACTGGAAAGATAGGTCTGTGGTTTGAAGGTTATCTTACTGGCTTAGATGAACCATTCCAGTGGTCACATTTTGCTGAGGCAGTTTGCAGACGATTTGGTGATGACAGTGGAGTGGTAATGGAAGAGTTCACCAATTTTAGACAGAATGGAGGAGTTATGGAGTTCACTGATAGGTTTGAGGAATTTAGAAGCAGACGATTTGGTAATGGAAGAGTTCACCAATTTTAGACAGAATTTAGAAGCCTCCTGATTCAAAAACACCCTACCCTCTGAGAGGCTTTGTGAGAACTACTCAGCCCAAAACACTAGCAGATGCAATATGGAATGCTAGACAGTTGGAAAGAGGCTTTAAATCCAATGAGCAACCTAAAACCACACCTCAGTTCTCAAACAGAAATACCTTAACCACACCCTACTCTACCATTCCCAGAACACACAATACCCTACCTAACCAAAAAGCCATAAATTCCCAAGGGTCCACAGCCTCTAATAGTCTGAATAGCACTGCAAGGTGCATCGTAAACTTTAGTCATAGCATAAATTGCTGATAAATACTCCACTTTATAAATTTATGACTCAAAATATTGCACCCCAACCCAGCCATCACTCACTTGAATTGAACCCTAAATTACACCTTAATTCAATGCTTTGTGATTTAAACTATCAACTTATTTTGAACTTATCACTCTTCTCAAGAGAATTAAAAAACAAAAATAAAATCAATTCACTGTCTAAGTGATATAATGTATGTTATTTTCTGTTTTAATTATTAAATAAAATATTAGGTATCAACCAAAGTCTATATATATAGTAAGCATTGATAACTTTTAGTTTGATAAATTTGTATGGAAATAAAACATAATAATCACAACACATTCTAATTAATTCTATATTGCATTTTCCTGTATAAACATACATGAAGATTAGCGTAATTACATTCTGATCTTCACAATTCTGTGTACTAACCTGAAGGTCAATTACAGTAAGCATTACATAAGAAGAGAACAGAACAGAAAACATGAAAGAATGAATCCAGCTTCCAGCAATATATATATACATAATACATTGGAAGCAAATTAAACAAAAGTGTTGATTAGCATTAGCATTTAGCAACCTTCTGGGCGGTAATATTCTGGGGGCATAGACGGGCACCTTTCGTTCATGTGAGCGTATGGTTCCATGCTATTGTAACCCGGCAATTCCATCCTGTACTTTCCTCGAATTTGACAGAAGGGAAGTTCCACTGTGTCCCCATCATTGCACCACTTTGGTAAGCGGCTTGTATCGTTCTCGAAAAAGTTCAACGAGTACGCATCTTTAATCTGCGTTTTCATACATATATATGATTTCATAAGGCTCATTCATAGAAGTGATTCATTGCATTGCAACACATATCAACAAAGAACTAACTCACCGTAAACTCTGTAACTTCAATGGAGCTTGCAAGTGGACCAAACAGTCCCGCTTCCTTGTACATTTCAAGAACAAAAGCAACACATGATGTAGACTTCCCATCTGCGTAAACCCAACCATCCTGCTCCGGGATAGTCAATAGTTCTGCAAAAGATGATCCACGCCGTTCAACTTCCACAAGAATTTCAGGAAGATCAAGCCCCTGCTCCAACACAAAAACTTATATCATTAGGTCACACAATTTATCACATCAATTTGCAAGCTAAGGTAAACTTTATGAGATTGAAGTTTGGGGGAAAATCTACTCAAAAACCTAAAATCTGGGCCAAAGACTAATGATATAAAAACCACTTTTTTTCTAAACCCAATCAGCACTTGGCCTAGGGTCATCTGTTTTTTCTAAGAACTTTGTATAAAGAAGAAACATTTAGCAGAAATACAACCTCAGTTCCAAGCCGCTTGTTTAAGGCTTCATTCCACAGGTTAGCGGCATATGCAGGCTGTACTTGATTCCAAACTGTCATGGCAGAAGCAACCTGTACGTATCACCAACCACCAAAATATCAAAATCAAAACTGAAACTTTAATGGAACCATTATCAGTGTTACATATCTATATCTATTTTGAAAAAAAGAAATTATCAAAATATTCAGAGGATATAATGTTCTAGCATTGTAGAAATGATTTTGCAGGAATCACAGAGCTAGAGCAAAGATGCAGTGAAAAGAGAATAAATGAATATTGAACTTCAAAAGCAAGAAGAATGCAATTTTTCTTAAATACTAGAGTGAAGATTCATTACCAGATGAGCATCCAAGGGTGGAGGGAAATTTTCATCTATCGTGTCTATCCAGCTAAATATTAAGTTGTGATAACCATAAGGTAATCCATTCATGCTTTTAGCATATTCCCATGCAGCAGTCTCATTAAACTTGGCCCGGAGGTCTGGACGCAGAGGAAGCAATGCAATATGTGGATTGGAGTCATCTTTCGTCAACTCAAACTCCCACCATTCATCCCAAGGCAAGATAGCAATAACATCTTCTCCCTGAAAATGAAAAAGTACAAATATTTATGAGTTCAAAACAGGCTGTGCCGGAGTAATGCATCACAGTAATACAGCATTGACAATTTAGCATTCAAAATCATGATTGTAAAGGGAAAATAGTGAACTTATACATTTCACATCATATTTCTATTGCTTAAGAAATGTTCCACTCCAGCATACTTCTTGTTTGGGCGGAGGACAATGAAGGGTCAAGTCCAGCACCAAGTGCCTAGGGGGATTGTTGACCGGAGGCCTAAAGGGAGCCAAGTTTGGCACCCTGTCTCTGGAAAATGTGGTTGTATAAGGAAATAAAGTTGGGTCTTCCCTACTAGCTATAACTTTTGGCATAGTGATAAGTGGTTGATCTTAACACTTCTTTCCTCCCAAAGAACATCTAATAGAAATCTACTGAAATCAACTCTACTTGTTACATGAAATTACTCTATAATAATATTTGTCACTATAAAAGTACAATTATTACTTAAAGTGAGAGTTAGCAGAGATCATTCTTAGCAGGATTCTAACATAGATGTAATATGATCGAACAGTGAAACAACGGGTATACTGAGATCAAGTATACTCAAATACATTTAAAACGCTACCTCATCATTATCATGTCCAGATTCTCCGACCCATAGATTTCCTTGGGCGTCCCTCAAGCAAACAGCAGTATGACCAGCATAAGAACCTGTTACCCACTTCTCCAAAGTCTCAAAACCACCCCAGCGGCCTCTAATTTTTGATATTGCCAGAAAATCTCCAGAATGTATATCATCAGTAGTAATATTTGTTACCCACGGCTGAGGACGCTCCTCAAATGAAGCCTTCATATGTTTCTTGAGAAAATTAAGATTTGAACTCTCACCCCATCCAGTGTTTGTGAACAAAGGAAAGACTTCCCATAGCGCACTAAGGGTTCCTAACATTCCTGCTTGCATCAGAAAAATTGAAACCCCAGAATTCTTTACCTGTCATGGTTGAAATTTAAAAAGTCTGTAAGTGACAAGTCTAACTTAAAAGTGATGTTCAAAAACATAATATTATTACCCTACGACTTCATAAAGGTTATAGCATTTACTCACGTATTCTAACTCAGCTTTTGAAACCCATTCATCGAATTCAAGGGTATGTTCACGAGATAAGAAGTAGTAATCCCATGTCACACGATACGGGGTGGCAAAGATGTAAATATCCATACAAGTCCAGCTGTGTGCATTGCTTACCTGTTCAATGGAACACATTGAAAAATTGTAATAAATACTCAAAGATGAATCCCATTATCAGTCCAAATCAATCTTTGTGGTTCAATGCAATAATGGCTATGTTTGGCAAACCTAGCTAAAAAGCTATAAGCTATATAAGCTGAAAACTGAAGTGTTTGGTAAAATTAGCTTTTTTTGATAAGCGGAAGACTAAAAAGAATATCTTCATAAAATTTAAATAGTTTTAAATTTAAATATGTTTGTTTACCTATTAAAATTTAACATGTTGAAGTGTAGAGATTTATAGAATCTTATAAAACACCATAGAACTCATATAATTGTATAGAATTTTAGGAAGGATTTTAGAGATATAATCATAATCATACGATCAAGTAGATCTGCACCGTCTGTTGAGGATGTGGAATAAATATAAATAACCTCATGGGGCTCCTTTTGTAACAATCCAAGTGGTGCTTATAATCTAAAGATAAAATGTCTTTTTTCTCAAAATTAAAGAGTTTTAATTGGGAGCGATAAATGATGTCATTTATTTATTTTAAAATAATAAGGATAAAGATGAAAAAAAGTTTAGAAGCTACTAGCTTGTTTTTGAAAAAGCATTTCAAAATAAACTATTATTTTAAACTACTAGTTTATTTCTTCCCAAAGAACATCTAACAGAAATCTACTGAAATCAACTTCACTTGTTACATTAAGTTTGATCAAACAACTGGAATACTGAGATCAAGTACACTCAATACATTTAAAACGCTACCTCATCATTCTCCGACCCCTCAAGCAAACAGCAGTATAACCAATACTAGCTTATTTTTGAAAAAAAAGTTTCAAAATAAGCTTATTGTTTTAAGCTACTAGCTTATTTTTGGAACATGACCAAACAGAGCTTATAGCTTATTAGTAGCTTAAAATAAGCTAAACTCTTAAATTAGTTCTTCCAAACAGAATCAATATCAAAACAAAACAGAAATATTTTTATTAAAGTAACAGAACCTTAAAAACATAAATTTTAGTATCAAACAATAACATGTACTCCGTAGTAAATAGTTGAAGATTTTTTATTTTTTATTTTTAAAGATTAACAGGTAGTTCAAATCCCGACACTCTGTGCTAATTGTAAAAATGAAGATCGAAATAAAAAATGCTAACAAATCTAAATAAAATCCTGAAGTACCCGGCAGTCAAACTTGAAGAAAGAAAAACAACAATTCAAACACTTGTAAATTCATGAATAGCAAATACCCAAATAAAATTTTAAAAGAAAAAGAAAAAAAACTCAGAGAAATACCCCAAATTGATACAAATTAAATATATTAAACTCGAAATTGATTTGAAGCAATGAAATTTCAACATAGTTAAACACTTAATAAGATCAAAATCACAATAAATTAAGAGCAAAATAGGAAAATTGAAAGAATTTGATAGATACCTTGATGTGAAGAGTGCCTCCACCAAATGGAGTGCCACTTTTGTTGTGGAGCTCCAACCAAGCAGAGTTCTGGTAAAAGCAGGTCCCTTTCCACTCAATATTGGTGGTGTTTGAGGCGGAAGCAGCGCCCACAAAGGCGGGCAAGAGGTCCGCTGCACTGTGCAAAGAGTTGATGATAGGCCATGAGAGCTGCTGTGGCAACAGCGGAACAATATCAGTGGGCCGAAACGGCAGCTTCAAGGCATGGCCTCCGTGCGGTGCAAGGAACAAATAAATGGCGATGAGGATTGTGATATGGAAAAAGGTCCTTAAGAGAACTCCCATGGATGGCAGATAGGAAGAGGAGGCGACACAGATTGACTTTTATAACCACATAAGTACATAACCTTGCTTTGTCTTATTTCGGCATTTGGTTATTGAATTTTGAGGGAATATAAATGCTATTTTATAGTAAATGGAATAGGTAAGGAATATAACATTAATTGTATTTTATTGTTTGGTTCGATATATAAATATACTTTAGAAATTGTATTTCAGTATTATTTGGTTTGATATAGGAATAGACTTTAAAAATTGTATTTCAGTGTTTTGATTGGTTAAAAAAATATAAATGAAATAAGTTTTTAAAAGACATAAATACACTTATACAAAATCTATATATAAGACACAAGATCAAGTCTTAATAGTCGTAATGTAATGTGTAAGCATCTACTCCCACCATAGGTTTTATGTTATCTATAGTTGATTGATAAACTTTCGATCTTGTAATATTAAATTGATTATTTGACTAATTTAATCCGCATCACCTCAATCGATACTAATTTCTTATTTTTCTTTCTATTTTGTTTATAAAAACATGATAGAGTTAACAAAAAATAATGTGAGCTTTTTAGTTTTGCCTATATATTTTTTTCAATACTAAAGATTTGTCGAAAGATATTTTTTTCTCTTTCTATGAATTTGTTGAAATCTATTTTCTAATTAACTTTTATATATATAAACTTTTAATTCAAATCTTGTAGGACTTAAAAACCTATTACTTGGTGATTTAAAAGAGGAAAAAGAAAAAGAGTTATTTTCCTTAGTTGGTCTAACACGTTTAGATGGAAAAAGATGCTCCAAGTTGTCTGACTTAAATAATACTCCGTATACGTGAATATAGTGACCTCCTACAAAAAATAAATAAATAAACAAATAACAAAAAATCTCAATTTTGCCGGAATAATTTTCTTCTTCCAAATGCTGAACCCCAACCCTAACGCCGGAATAATTTTATTGTGACACCAAATAGTGGTCATCTCACAAAATTGATTGTTAAGACATAGGCTCTGTTTGACAGAGTTTATTTAGGAACTTATAGCTTATTTTAAGCTACTAATAAGCTATAAGCTCTCTGTTTTCAAAATAAGCTCCTAGCTTCCTAACTTTTTTTCCATCTTTATCATTATTATTTTAAAGAAATGACATAATTTACCATTCTCAATTAAAACTCTTTTTCTCTTCTCCTTTATCCGCAACTTTCACCGCAATTATTATTATTATTATTATTATTATTATTATTATTTGCAACAATATTGCTACTTTATTATGAGATGCTAGATCATCATTATGCTAATAGTTTTATTTCAAAATGTTAATTTTTTTTAAAGACAAAATGTTAAATTTTAATATGTAAACAAACTAATTTAAATTTTACGAAGATATCCTTTTTAGTCTTTTTACATTTATTGGCTTATCAAAAAGCTAATTTTACTAAACACTTTCAATCATAACAGCTCTTCAGTTTTCAGCTCCGAGCTTATAGCTTTTCAGCTTTCAGCTCCTAGCTTATAGCTTTTCAGCTTTCAGCTCCTAGCTTATATCTTATAATTTACTCCTTAATTATCATGTTGGGTCATGGTCTGGGCCTTGAGGACAAGGTATTTCGCCTTATATGAACAAGTAATACATATTGTACTCTAATTAAAACTCAAATTAACTTCAGTAGTTTATATATATATATATATATATATATATGTGTGTGTGTGTGTGTGTGTGGAGGGGAGGGGGGAGGGGGGGGGGGGGGGGCAGATCAAATGAGAGCATAGTCATCATATAAAAAAATGAAGATTGATCGCAATTTGCAATCGTCCATCAAGATTCACTAGTGGTTAAATATTTTAATAAAAAATAAAAAATACGGGGTCAATTTTATAATTGTTACAAATTTGAAAGTTTTTAATATTAAAAAAAAAGTCACATTTTCCCCTTATTTTCTAACAACCCTCAATCATTGATCTAGCTATCTAGATGGATGAGTCAAATCAATCATCACTTTTTTACATGAAAGCATATTCATCATTCCACATTCCATATTCCATACTCCATATTCCATATAATAAAAAGGAAAAAAAAAAAAAAAAAAAAAAAAAAACTTAAAATCTTGTGGTGGTGTGGTACTACACTTTGAAAAAAAACAAAAACAAAAAACAAAAAAAATAGACGTGAATGGATAAATTTGATTGTAGTGCATGATTTTGACTACTTAGCAATACATAACAGATTAACAGGGAGTGGTTTTATATGAATTGAAGTTGGGCAAGCAAACAGCCACACACGCAAGTCTTTGAAAAATCCCTACCATATCTTTTGCTCCATTCCATGGAAAATAAGTTTGATATAAATTTTCAAACTCAAACTTATCTAATTTAAAAATCTAACATAAAAATATTATGGCAGGGAATGAGGGTTTATATCCTTTACTGAAATTTGCTTTTTGTTATTTTTTTTGGGTATGTAATGCTATAAATTTTATTGGACAAAATATTATCATTAGTTCATTATTATAGCTTTCATTATCTTGTTTATTATAGTTATCATACAAATGCATTCACTATATCTTTTCTTCTTTCTTAATGATAATCTTTTTTTCATCTCGTGTTTGGTTGCAAAATAGAAACGGTCTTTGTGTGTTTTTTTATTTTCTAAAAAACGAGTAGAATTTTATAATTAAACATTTTAAATATTTTATTTAGAATAAAAAAAATATATAATAATATTAAAAATAATATTAGTTATCAATATTTAAAAAAAAAAAAATGAATTCCGCCGGAAATCATAATTATGGTTTCTGTCGAAAACCTTGTTCAGAGTGTGGCGAAAAATGACTTCCGTCAAATATTGGGTAGAAGTCATTTTCCGCTAAAATGACTACATTTTCTCTTGTCAACGGAAAAATGGTTTCCGTTGATTAGATTTTCCAATTACATCCAAACACTAGAAATTTGAAAGTATTTAGTGCATGATTTTAGTTTTGACAAGTTTGATTACTTAATTTCCAAACGTAGCCTTAATCCATTAGACCCAGAGATCATTTTTCTTTTCAAATAAGTGGCATTGCTTATTTTTGAAAATATGTTAATTTCAATACCATGACAATTTTAGATTTAGTGCATGATTTTAGTTTTGACAAGTTTGATTACTTAATTTTATAATGTACGTTGATGCTTAGCTTCAACTTATACTTAGGAGTCTGAAAAAACAATAAAAAGTATAACTCTATACATATTTAAACCGATTACATACAATTTATTTGATAATGTACAAAAGAAATTACATATCATTAGAATAATGTATTTGAATCGAAATTATTTTAACCGAGTCTCTCCAACAATTATTTTTCCCCATTTCTCCCATCAAAAGTCTTCCAAATGTGAAAAAAAAGTGGCACATACCAAAAGTATTTTATTAAAAAAAAAGTTACTATACATACAAGAAGCATAGCACAATTACACTCACAAGGCTGACAAAGAAAAAGGTTGATGATCAGCAACGTTCTGGGCGGGAATATTTTGGAGGCCTAGACGGGCACCTTTCATTCATATGAGCGTAGGGTTCTATGGTATTGTAATGGGGCAATTCCATCTTGTACTTTCCTCGAAGTTGACAGAAAGGAAGTTCCTCTGCGTCCCCCTCACTGCACCACAATGGTAAGCGCCTTGTATCGTCCTCAAAAATCTTCAACGAGTATGCGTCTTTAATCTGCACATTCATATATACATATACGATGACTCTGATATCAAATTAAAGAATGTGTTATATTACAATTGAATGTCTAAATTGATAGTCAGATTGCACGTTTATGTCTATATATATATTATATGCTCAACAGCAGTGATTCATTGCAGAGCCCAAAACACATCAAGCATTCAAGCCTGTATGATAAACTCACCGTAAACTCTGTGACTTGAATCGAGCTTGCTAGTGGACCAAACAGTCCTGCTTCCTTGTATATTTGAAGAACAAAAGCAACACATGATGTGGACTTCCCATCAGCGTAAACCCAATCATCCCGCTCTGGAATTGTCAATAGTTCCGCAAAAGATGACCCACGCCGTTCAACTTCCACAAGAATTTCAGGGAGATCAAGGCCCTGCTCAAACACAAAACTTAGGTCTAAAGTCAGTTTTAGGTTACATGGTTTATCACATATAAAAAGGTTTTCAGGCTACATGATAGGTAAAAGCCACTTTTTTTCTAGATCCAATCAGCCCGGACAAACGAACACTTGCCTAGGGAGATGCAGGTTAAAAACATTGTATAAAGATTATTTAGCATGAATACAACCTTAGTTCCAAGCCGCTTGTTTAAAGCTTCATTACACATGTTAGCAGCATATGCAGGCTGTACTTGATTCCAAATTGTCATGGCGCAAGCAATCTGTGTATCACGAAGCACCAAAATATCAAAATCAAAAACAGGAAATGGCACTGAATTTTTATGAAAGCAGCAAGCTCTACAAGTACAAACATTAACCACTCCAGCTCCTGCACATTAGGAAACTTTGAGAAAATGTACATGTAATTGAACATTTGCACTTCTTGAAATTGTTACCTATGAGAACATTAATATGTTTTTCTGCAATTCTATTTGCTGGCACTCATGCTCCGTATAACAACCTTGAGGCTTTTTTGCCAAATAAGTTTGGTCTCAATTATGAAGCAATAATAAAGCCTATACTATAAATTTTGTGGAGCATATGATAATACACCTAAATTTTCATAAACAGCACTTACAGCTAGCAGATAATAATAAGCTTTAAGTAAAAGGACTCTCTTACCAAGTCCAATTAACATACTATTGCAATCCAGAAACCTAATACAACTCACTGAGTCTCAACTATATTAAGCTTTAGTGTTATGTGCGTGTTTTTATCTCAAAACATTCAGAGGATATAAAGTTCTAGCATTGTGGTAATGATTGCAGGAATTAAAGAACACGAGCAAAGATGCAGTGAGAAGAGAATAAATGAAAAATAAACTTAAAAAACAAGAAGAATGCAAATTTTCTTTGAATCAGAAATACTTGAGTGAAGATTCATTACCAGATT